GAGAGGCTGCAATGCTCTAAATCCTTCCGGAGGGTGCCAATCAGGTTCAGCGGAGTTACGGTGAAGGCTGATCTCTATGCCTTACCTCTGGTTGGGCCGGATGTCGTCCTAGGTGTACAATGGCTTGAGGGGTTAGGCAAGGTGACCACGGACTATCGAACAGGAATTATGGAGTTCAACTCCGGAGGTCAGCAAGTCACATTATGCGCGGGCAATGAAAAAGGTGCCAAAGAAGTAGGGCTTAAGAGTATTGATAAGGTTTGGCGGGGTGGAGGCCAAATCTTTGCCGTAGTAGTGGAGAAGACTGAAGCGCACATAGGTCAAGAGGAACAACAGTGGGGAGATGTGCACGAGCTTCTCTAGAAATTTAAGGGAGTACTGGGCGAACCTAAGGGGTTACCCCCACACCGGGAGTCCGATCATCGCATACCACTGATCAACGAACAACATGCCGTACACGTTCATCCCTATAGGTATGCTCACTTTCAGAAAACCGAGATCGAACGGCAAGTAGCCGAGATGCTTGAATCAGGACTAATACAGCATAGCAAGAGTCCGTTTTCTTCTCCAGTCCTGTTGGCCAAAAAGAAAGACGGCACGTGGAGATTCTGTACTGACTACCGGGCTCTGAACGCTGCGACCATCAAGGACCAATTTCCTATCCCGAGCGTTGACGATATGCTTGATGAGTTAGCCGGGTCACGTTATTTCTCTGAGCTCGATCTGAGAGCTGGTTACCATCAGATTCGACTCCACAAGGCCGACATTCCAAAGACAGCTTTTCGTACACACCAGGGGCACTATGAGTATCTTGTTATGCCATTTGGATTATGCAACGCCCCATCCACTTTCCAGTTCGCCATGAATTCTATCTTCAAGGAGTATCTGCGTAAGTTCGTTCTGGTACTCTTTGATGATATCCTGATCTATTCAAAGTCTTGGGGTGATCATCTTGGGCATCTGAGAGTAGTGCTCGAAATTCTGGAAGCCAACTCATTCCACATAGAGCCATCCAAATGTTCTTTTGGGCAGATGGTGGTTGAGTATTTGGGGCACTTCATATCACACGAGGGCGTGAAGGTCGACCCAAGA